CCCCCACACACACAGACACACAGTCACACACAGTCACACACAGTCCACACAGTCACACACAGTCACACACGGTCACACACACAGTTAACAACTGATGACAGATCGTCACGGGTAAGTCTTCACTGTGGGTAATTTTTGAATCTTGACGGATACTCACGGGTAAGTCTTCAGCGTGATAGCAAAGAACTTGCTTGGATCGCTGTTGCTCAGTGACAAGAAGTCTGCTTGTGTGGCAGTGTGGCGGTAATGGACCACAGTGGTGTTCCAATCGTTTAAAAACGTACCGCTGCTCACCACTTCAAAGCCATACCCTGATAGATAACAGGAATTCAAATCAAAACAAATTTTGTGGCCATTCAGTCTCAAAAGATGTGTTAGACATCAAAAGGTTAAGGTTGTCTCTCAAGATGGCAACCCCGAAGAGCCTACCACCACAGTGGTGTTCCAATCTCGTAAAAGGGTACCACTGCATTCAGTCATTATGGGTCACAAGCAATAGAGCGAGTCCTCATTCAATGCTCTGTCGTGGCCACACACTCACGGACAAATTGTTCTCCCTCTGTGTTGCAGAACCTTAAAGCACAAGTACATGCCAGCTATCGGCCACGGGCCGCCCCTTTCGGAGGCCGCCCACCGCCGATTCATTTTATCTACGGAGCTCGCGCTCCTTAATTTTTGGAGAGGCTCAGAACAGGTTCTCCATTTGCCTGGGGCCATGTACTGGTCGTTTAACATGGATAGATAACCATGAGGTTGAACCACCACTCCATCCAGGCCAAACTTGCAACGGCACGGTGCGCCGTACGGCGTGCGGCACGGCACCTGCTCGTTTGCGGTACCAGCGGCAGTTTGCCTTTTTTGTTTCTTTTTTTGCTGACTTGTCTTCCCCGACACTCGGCATGCGTACAAACAGATGACGATCAAGCTGGTGACTTGCGCCCACATAAAGCTCAGAGATAACGAAGACAAGAACGCAGTTTAGATTCAGACTTTTCTCGTACGGCTATGGCCATACACCATACTCCCAGCAACTGGTTCGTGCACACAACCCCGGATCTCCCTGGATTTCTCGCTCACACAAACACAACACACTCGTACACATACACACACACACACACTTACTAAGCTAACTGGCAGCTATGGCTGCGCTTTACCTCCTATCACTAACACAAGCAGCTATGGCCGCATCTTCCTCCTCTTAACCCACTTCCTCTTCGGGCACCTGCAGACCCTCGTACACAAGACGCTCCGACAGCACTTCCGCACGGCTCACAGGCAGAATGAATGCATGACTGCTCGCTGCCTCGTCGACGCCCCACTCAAGCTTACTGTAAGGCACGTTTCATTTTTGTAGATACAGAAAAGTGCACCGCCTAAGGAAGAAATCTCTTTCAACTTTCAAGTACAGTCGTACAGTTTTTTTTGGTCCGTCCAGTTGGGCATGAGAAATAGCCTCAAATAGGTGTCTGGAACATCAGTCTTGACCTTCAGGTAGCAGCATTCCTTTCCCACTAGTGTTTTTTTTTTTTTTTTTTTTTTTTTTTTTTTTTCATCCCACAACAAATCTTCAAAGGGGATGCAGGTAAACCATTCACCCAGGAATGCGACCCTTGTTTGTTTGTTTTTTCTGAATGAATATTTCCCCCATCCACCGCACCGTGCGGGTCCCTGCTCCTGCGCGGAACGTGCGAATTTTCCATACGGTGTGCGCTTGCATGTATGATCCAGACCTATTTTTTTGGCAAACCAACAATTGCATTTCCCCAAGCCTAAAATCTACAGTGCCTCCATGAGTAAAGATAATTGTGGTACCCTTCGCGTTCCGACCTCTGCTGGCCCTGGCCACTGTAGACTAGAAAAATGAACAGGGCACGGGTCATTGCAGTGGTGATTTAAGTAAGGCAGTGCATTTCGAATATAAAACGCCTGCACAGGGCCGGGGAGCCCTCACATTTCAACCAGAAACGTACGGAAACCATTACCCAGCTTTGGCTACCGTCTTCACGCGAATAGAAACGCCCGGACATTATAGCCGTATCTGGCACAATTTCGAGTCCAGATACAGCTATAATGACCAGGCGTGCTATTCAGGTGAAGACGGTAGTGCTGGAACAAGCACATATTTTCCTCCCCATTGACTCACACCTCTACGAATATCCACACCTCAATGATTTCTTTGTTTTTTCCCCTTTTCTAAGTTTTCTTCCTTTTTTTTCTGTGAGACCTCACATTTCAACCCGAAAGTACGGAACCATCACCCAGCTAGCTTTGGGTGGTGCTCGTCTGCTGGAAAACGGGATCTAGTTGTACGCGCACATGTTTTCCTCCCCATTGACCCACACCTCTAGGCTTATCCGCGCCTCAATGATTTCTTTGATTTTTTTGTACTTTTTTGAAGTTTTTTCCCTTTATTCTTTCGTTTTGACTCTTTCTATCAACCACCAGTACACCCGGGCCTGGAGGGGCCTTACTGCGCTCCAAGCTTTTCCGAACTGCCAGAGGCGCACTTGCTCTCTTTTTTGGCTGGCGCCACCAGCCATTGTGGTCCGGTAGGCCGAGCCTCCAAATTTTTTGTAGGCGACACGTTGCATTTTCAGCAAGGCCGGGGCCGTGTACTGGCGGATTAAAAGGGTGACCACCTTGAGATATCATCTTCAAAGTTCAAACTGACCGGCCCAGGGTAACTTCGGAGTTACTTCAGAGTTACTTCGGAGTTGCTTCGGAGTTACTTCGGAGTTACATCGGAAGTTCGGAGTTACTTTACCCATCTGAGTTCAATTTGAATTGAACTGAGGTCTGCATTTCCTTTTTTTTTTTTTTTTTTTTTTTTTTGACAGTTCACGGGTTTACTTACTGAGCTGGGCCAGTTGGCTTCCCTCGCGATAAAATCTTATGTATAATGTATTGGGTATGAAATCTCAGTATTGGGTATTAAATCTCATCTGATGTTGGACCGGTCTCTTACAGATAAACCCTCGAGTCGAAAGTTTTCTCAAACAAAACAGTGCACG